GATATCCCAGCCCACCTGAGCAGATATCCCGGCTCACCTGAGCAGATACCCCAGCTCACCTGAGCAGATATCCCAGCCCACCTGAGCACATATCTCAGCTCACCTGAGCAGATACCCCAGCCCACCTGGACAGGTTCCCCAGCCCACCTGGACAGGTATCTCAGCTCACCTGAGCAGGTCCATCTCGTCTCGCAGCGCCCGTGCCTCCCCCGCCAGCCCGCTCAGCTCCTGCGCCCGCACCTGCAGCCCCCGCGCCTCCTGCTCCAGCCGCGAGCAGCGCGCCCGCAGCTCCTCCTTGCCGCTCTCCAACCTGCCACGAGACCCCCCTCACCTTCAGGTGAGACCCACAGGTGAGGGGGGGACCCACGAGGGCGTGTTCTCACCTGTAATTCTCCTCCTGCAGCTCCTCCACCTGCGTCTGCAGCCGCAGCAGCTTCTTGGCGGCGGCGCCGGCGGCGTCGGCCTCGAGCTGCTCCCGCAGCGCCCGGTTCTCGGCGGCCAGGTGTCCCTTCTCCTCCAGGAGCGTGGCCACCTGCGGCGCCCAGGTGTGCGGGAGGGGCCCAGGTGGGCGGGATTCCCCTCCCAGGTGCTCCTCCTCCTCACGTGAACCCCTCCAAGACCCCTTCCCGTTAAATTTTGGGGGTTTCTAACCTGGCACAGGGGATTTGGGGGACCCAGGTGGGCGGGATTCCCTTCCCAGGTGCTCCCCCTCCTCACGTGAACCCCTCAAAAATCCTTTCCCGTTAAGTTTTGGGGGTTTTTAACCCAACACGAGGGATTTGGGGGGGACCCAGGTGTTCAGGATCCTTCCCAGGTGCTCCCCCTCCTCATGTAAACCCCTCCAAGATCCTTTCCTGTTAAATTTTGGGGGGTTTTTAACCCAACACGAGGGATTTGGGGGACCCAGGTGTGTGGGATTCCTCTCCTGGTGCTCCCCCTCGTCACGTGAACCCCTCAAAGACCCTTGCCCGTTAAATTTTGGGGGCTTTTATCCCAACATGAGGGATTTGGGGGGGTCCCAGGTGTTGAGGATCCCCCTCCTCACATGAACCCCTCAAAAACCCTTTCCTGTTAAGTTTTGGGGGGTTTTAACCCGACACGAGGGATTTGGGGGGGTCCCAGGTGTTCAGGATCCCTCCCAGGTGCTGCAGAACCAGCAGAAAATCCCCCCCCCCTCCACCGCTCTCCCTCAGGTGGGAATTGAGTGGGGGGGCCAGAGGATTTGGGGACCCCTCACCCCCAGGTGATTCCAGGTGCTCACCTGCTGCTCCAGCTCCTGGCAGCGCTGCCCCGAACCCCCCCCGGCCTCCTCGGGGGGCTCCTGGCTCAGGAAGTAATAACGGCGGGACTGGGGGGGGGAC